TATTCCACATTTTGTTTCGAGTTCAAACATATATTATAGAATCTCGAAATAAAAAATTAAACTGGGGGGGTGCAAACATTTGTATGTTTTTTCTTATTAAGAGAATCATATTTTTGTTTCTGGAGTAATTCCTTCTCTCAATTTTGTCAACTTTTGTGATATATGTGAGATAACCTTGAGTTCTGAATGTTGATTTTGAACTTTTGGCCAGCGTTTTCGTGTGATCGACCAATGTGCGACGGTGGATTCAAACCATGTGAGCCTGAGTCCTCGCCATATTAGAGCTAATGGAGAACTTGAGGACGAATGGTGGTTTTTCGAGTAATTTGGAGGAGCGGATTGACAATGGATGCAGAATGATATAAATAGAATGGCTAGACTTAAGACTAGCTATAAGCGACTTGGAGTAGTAAACAGTAGAAACTGAAATACTGTGATTTCTTAATGGACTATTCGGGGATCCACTTATAAAGCAGATTATTCAGACATTTTTAAAGTAATGTTTTTGTAGATATAATTTCTTTTTTAATTTTAATTAACCTGCAAATGAACACGATGACGATTCAGGTACGCCCAATTATTATGGCGAAGTCAATCTTTATTATGGAGGTTATAAAAAGTTGTATTTGGATCCCATGGTTCTGTTTCTAGGGGGAATTAATTACTCGTTTTGTTTGTTGGCATATATCATTCCAGAATATAAAACAGCCAGTAGCCAAGATTGAACGCAAGGAAACTGATCGGAAATATCATGCGGGAGTACTTGTCAATGATATTGACATCCTTGATCTTCGGTATTGTGGCTTTAATAGCAGAGGCACCTCTTTTAAGTGCATGCAACATACGTGGGCGGGCGGAGATACCTGTAAAACGATATTTCATTATATTATCATGTTATAATAATAAGATATATTATTACCCCTCTGTGCTCTACGCCTCAGCTGGCTGTGTCCGGTGCCATAATTACGTGTTATTCGAAAACTTGGCGGAAACTTTCCCAAGTTCATGGTTTCGGTGCCTATGGAGTCGAGGGTGGCGTTGTAGGTACCCCTTCGTAGAGAGGGTATAGGACTCATGCGAACATCCTGCAGTTCGATAATGTCCTCGGTCGTTGAACACGTTTCGGATCTTTCGCTCTTTCCTGAGGACAACAGAGGTTAAAGGTTATTGTAAGATGATCTAATCCTAACTAACTACTAAACTCACCGATTTTCCCTGGACAACAATCTTTGACCTTCTTTATTTTCTTTTTAGCTCTTTTGCCCCAGTAAGTATAGTTAACGGCAGCGTATTCAAGAAGGGCTGCAAATACAAAAACGAAGCACATGACCAGATAAATGTCGATTGCCTTTACATACGATATACGAGGCAGTGAGCTGCGAACACCCGTGCTAATTGTGGTCATGGTGAGGACCGTGGTGATCCCCAAAGCAACCCGGGCGCTCGTCGCCTCGTGGTTTATCCAAAACGATACCCACGACAGCATTACTATCAGAATGCTGGGCAGGTAGGTCTGGAAAACAAAATATCCGATATTTCGTTGCAATTTAAACGAGAGCGAGAGTCGCTGATAGACTCCGGTGGCCAGGCGCTCCTTGCGATCGTTGGTTTCATATCCAATGATGGTGAACTGGGGCAGTTCCGCATCCTCCACTCCGCGGACTGGGGTTGGCTTCCAGTACATGACCACATCGCTGACCGTATATCCATCTGCAATAGTAATTCGTAATTTTAAATACAGTGATAAGTGGAACAACGTGCTTAAAACATAATTTGTATTCAGTCATAGGATACTCTGGTATGTTACCTATATAAGTATTAAAAACAAAATCTATATATCTAGTGGGAGACATCTCTAGGTTATCCCGAACATTAGATCTTCAGATCTTTATCTGTATCGCCAGATTGATAAAAACATGTTGTTTTCGGATATAGGATACTCTAGTATGATTCCATTATAAGTAATACAAACCAAATCCATTTATCTGAAGGAAGATATCCCTTGGTTATTCCGAACATTGGATCTCGAGATCTTATTCTTTATCTCCAGATTAAAAAAACACGTTGTATTTGCTCATAGGATACTCTGGAGTATTACCTTTATAAGTATTGAAAACAAAATCTATATATCTAATGAAAGACATCTTTGGGTTATTCCGAACATTATATCTCGAGATCCTTATCTAAAACTAGAGTGTACTAGAGATTACTTACAGCTCTCTATTTCCACAGTGCAGTTCTGGGAGTCCAGTGGATAGTAGTGCAGATCCATCATGCACGCGAGGGTCGTGGTGAATCGCATGCCATATGTGACAGCTCCATCGCCGCCCAGGCGAACCAGTTTATTTCTCTCGGTGACATCGTGCAGAAAGCTAGGCGAATGAGTTGAAGATTTAGTTGTTATATAGCTGTTCTCAGTGGTACCTGTTTTTATCATTAGCGAAAAACGTGTCTGGTACCCATATCTTTTCAGCAAAGTCTCCTGATAGTGTTAGCACATCACTAATGCCGTCGTCATCATCGCCATCATAATATTGTCCGAAGATATTAAATGCCAAACGCTCATCGCGCCAGTACTGATTTAAATACATTGTTATCGTATAATCCTAGTGATTAAATGGGATAATATAGATTCAATTAATGATCCCTTCATTATAAATATGTGTAAACTTACCATGTTAACTTCTGATATGGCATCAAAGCTGGCTATGGTCAAATCCATACCGACATGCAGAGGCTCTCCGCCAAAATTAGGCCTGAGTCGAATATCGTAGCCTTGTAGTATGTTTGATATTGTTTGCGTAACGTTCTCAAGGCGGCCGGCAAGCACATCTTTTCGAATACATCTGAAAGTAGGTAACTCAGTTCCGTAATTATACGATATAATCTACTTTTACATTAGAATAGTCTACTATTTTAGAGTTTTTGAAATTACTGGATATTATCCTGTATTTATTTTCACTTAGGATAAATGGTATAGTGGTAGTTAAGATGAAGGCTGTAAGTTTTTTATTCGGACATTAGAATGGTCTATACTATTTTAGAGTTTTTAAAATTTCTGGATATTATTCACGTATTTGTTTTCACACAGGAATTAAAGTCTTGAGTCTGTCCGTAAAAGTGCAGGAAAAACTTAAATAAACACCCTATGGAAACAATAATTGTTCCTTAATTTTTCTGTAAGTGTACTTTTTAATCACCTACCGAATCAATTGTAGCTGGGCGCCCAGTAGGAAGAAGAACAGACTACAGGTTACTCCGACGCGCGTAAAACATGTCATATTGACAGCTTTTGCTTGTGTCGTTGTTGGGTCTCAACTTTTTGGAATCGATTGCGCTGTCATTTCCAGCTTTTCTTCTATCATCGCGGCAGCAAATTCAAATGCATCTGTCTTTTTTACCCTGGCATGTTTTGAGCAGCTGTGGGATAGCAACAAAAAATAACAATTTCAATGATAACATGGCTCAATCATTTTCAGGAAAAACATTCAAATATTTAATTTCAGCAGCGAATTCTTTAGATCTTGGTAGCTAAGTCTTATTATTTTGAAAATGTTAAACATTTTAAAACCTCGAATTTTCTAGCGTTTCCCATGAAATGGGAAACCACATGTAAACAAAATAAGAATGCTGTATGCACACTGTATTCTTATTGAGGACACTCTCCTTAAAACCATTGTATTATGTAACGTGTCGGAAATAATCATGGTGTTGAAAATAATTGGTCAATTATAATGTCATTAAATTAATTGTTCACTTTAAAACACCTCAACAAAAGGTGGCAACGCCAAGCGCGTGTCCTTGTTTTTATTCTATGCATGATTAGTATACCCCGATTTTGTTCTCATTTTTTATCCAGCACATATTTGGAGGTCTCGCTAACCGAATTAACTTTAAAGCATCAAGTAGTTAATACTTGATTTTTTCTTAAATAAAAAAATGCCGAAAATATGATTTTTATGTGGACTAGCACATTGGAAAAAACGCCGAATCAGGTGGGCAAAAGCACAATTAAATAGACGTTGATATTAAAGCACGTTACAATCGAATGCAGGCCATTCAAATCGGCAGCAATCGCAGCACTACTTATGCATTTGGGGCAGCAGTTCCAGTTTGTCTTGCCTTTTCATCCATATCAATATCACCACCACTAGCCAATAAAAGGGGAATTTGCAATCGCACACTCAGCTTTATGCATTGGCAAACTTTATCACTGTAGTGCCCTTTACCCTGCCCGCTGGCACCTTTTATTTGACGTCCCCGTCCAGTCAGTATTTTGTATATTTGTATTTTGTATTTTGGTCCTGTTTAACGCGTAGCCCCGAACTGCTGCGTGCGAGCACCCACAGTATCTATATCTATCTAATGAATAACTGCTTATAGAGATGCTTGTGCAGAAGCTTCTCGGGTGAGTTCATTTCGCTCGGCTTGACCTGCATTGCGCATCCCTATTATCCAAGTTTGTTCGCTTTATCAAATACATACATAGGCCTGTGCTTTCCATGAATGTCCTTTTTTATGCCTTTATGTTTGGCAATGAGACTGTGCTTTTCGAAAGCGACATCCTGCGGTCGCTGGGCTAAGCTATTAAAAAGCTTTACAGATTTTTTTTAAATTTCTGAACTCTACCAAAGTAAATATGAATAAATTTGAATATCGATTTTTAGATTCAAGTATTGAATGTAAAGGAGTTGCGAAGCTAGAGATTTTTTAATACTAAGTCAATCGAAGCAAATACATATAAACACTGAGATTCTAAAAATGCTGTCTGCATTGTGATAAAGTAATTCTGAAAATTGTGTTCCTATGGTTAAATATATTAGGACCACCTACCACTAAGATCTCACCCCCATACGACGAGCTTTGGCCGGAAAATAAAGTTCCTAAATAGTATTTAGTTCCGGCAATTGGTTTTAACATTGGACCATGAGAACTCTATTTTATACATTGCGTATGCCACCCAGTAGAAAAGGTCTAGGATTGCAAATGACTTGAGAAATTTTGAAAATGATATGCCTATGATCAAATATATTGCGACCACTCACCACTAGGATCTCTCCCCCATCCGACGAGCTTTTGCCGGCAAGCCAGAAAGCCCAAAATTAAAAAAGTAGCGCACAATAAAAGTTTTTAAGTAGTATATAATTCTGGTAATTGTTTTAACATTCATTTATCTTGTCTATGTCCTCATATTGGACCATGAGAACTCTTTTTTATACATTCCGTAAGCCCACCAGTATAAAACGTTTAGAAATGCAAAGGACATGGGAAAGGCGACTCGTGCCACTCGATCGATAAGGGATACACTATTCACATAGCAATTGGCGCCCCCTTGTTCGCTTTTTTGTGCCGCTGCGTTGCGTTCCCGTTGTTTCCGGAAACTATTGTCACTCTTCAGGCACATCCACATCTGATGCAATCGTGAGACGGCCGGAGGCTCTGTTTGAGTGGTTCTCTCCATGGTGTTCGGCAGGATATACGACGGATCCTGGTTCAGGAGGAAAGGTTACTTACAGATTTCTTTCTCGGAGTTTACTTACATTATATGTTGGACAGAAAATAGCGTTGCGCTTTATAAAACCAGGTCCGGCCAAGGAATTTTGCAATGAAACCTCATATTCCAGATCAAGAGCATCGTGTTTGTTGCAAGCACATACCCCGGTTTTAGAGTCAATCGATTCACTAACTGGACCCTCGTTTTCGTCATTTTCAGTGCCATCACTGGAGCCCTCATCTGCAAAAGGATCACCATCAACATCGGCATCGGCATCACCATCGCCATCAGCCGCGTGATCCGACATAGAGTTAGCTATGCAGATGTCCTCCCACTGATCCTCCAGCTGAGGACTCTCTCCGCTCCCGAGCTTCGTAAAGTAGTGCACGCCGGCGAATTCCAGTAGTGTGGCAATGCAATATAGAAAGCTCATCAATAGAAACCAATCCAAGGCGGTGGCATACTTGACTTTTGGCAAATCTGTGCGTGAGTCCAAGCTAATGGTGGATAGAGTCAGCACCGAGGTTACACACAGACTGACCCGGTCGCTCGTGGCCTCGCGATGTATCCAAAACGAGACCCATGACAAAACCACGATCAGTATACAGGGCACATATACCTAAACAAAGTTAATATAAGGTATTAAAATGTGGTTTAAAAGTATGCTGGTCTACTGGTCTAAAAATAAATCGTTGCATACTTTTAGGTCCTCTTTAAAGAGGTTTAAAACCTCCAGAGATGTCTTACTTGAATCAGAAAATATCCAGTGTGACGTTTGAGATTAAATGCTACATGTAAGACCGAAAAATCACCTTCGCGACGCACTGTTGTAAAATTGCGATGCATCATGCTTATAAGATCAAATTGATTTAAAGTCATCCCCGGAACGAAAGAGACGGCATCATCTTGATTTTTCCATTCATAGATTAGCTGTTGGTTGATATAACCATCTGAAGTGTTTAAAGGTAGATATAGAATATGAAAGATATAAAGAACAGTGGAACTTACAACTTCCTATGACAAGGGGGCATGATTGCCTGTCCATGGGAAAGTTTTGCAGTTCCATGGGACACGTGGCCTTAATTGTTAATCTGAATACCAGAATTATTATTTGAAATTAGTTATATAATAATGGATTAAAACATACCGCATTGAGTAGAGAATCCCTCCGTTTTGGTCGAGTCTAAGCAATTTGTTGGGCACAGTAATCATGTGAATTTGGGAATGCTTGCCGTTGTAGAAATATGTGTCCGGCCTCCAAATCTTGTCGAGCATTTTGATGCTTAGGGATAAACTTTTGATGGGTCCCTTGAAGCTCAGCCGTTTGTCCCGCCAATACTGCCGGAAATAGCAATCCATCGAGTAGTCCATGTCCAGTTCCGAAACCGGACCCATGCTACGGATAAGAATATTTGTTTGCACCACCGTGGGAACTCCTTGTCCATGTGTGGGTAGCTGCGATTGTTCGTAGCGCTTCAGTAGGTTTTCCAAAATCATTGATATATTGCGACTCAGCATGTCTGCCGATGCTTTTCGCGGAACTCGACTTTGATTAGAGATCTCGGAAAAATAACCACGTGTCATGTTGTTTTGACTTCGTTTCATTGATCGAGCTGCCATTTCTTTTAGTGACGGCAATACGCGAATGGAATTGAATATTCTGGAACTAAACTCATTTGTTATATTTGGTAATTTGGTTAGAATCGCAGCCGGCCCTAGAGCCTTTATATAAAGAAGATCCGATGAAGTTGGCGCTAGTGTGCCATCACCTACGTTTCCTTCGCTAATGCAGATAAAGTAGATCAAAAATCTGTAAAGAAAATTATTGTCAAAAGTTTATATGCTTTAGGTGTCCTTCAGTTCATTCACTTTGCCCCAAAGTGTCGGAATTATAAAATCAATCGACTGTTTGCCCACTTTTATTGATTGCATCCCGTCGAACTAAGTGAGTGACAAGCTCGTGTAGCCCAGATTTTCAAAAAGGGGGTACTTATGTGGTCATAAATTAATATTTCACTGTTGTTAATGTCACTTAGCTTTATTAAATTGGGATGTCACTTAGTCCAGTTTAATTTTACTTAAAGGTTTTTGAAAACTATTAACAAATCTAGACTAAATAGATCCAGATTGTTTTGGAAAACTTACCCGGCTATAATAAGTAGAGTTGGCGATTTTCGAAACATTTTAAATATTACGAAAAGTGTATGGGTACTATGAAAATAATTATTTTCTGAATATAGACGGACACCAAAACCCTGACGTTCTCATCACCATTAGGACTAGTCCGTATTAAAACTGCTGCACTTTGTGACATGCTTTATATAATGCAGCATCAGTAGCCGCTGGCACCGTTTTGTTTTCGCCATGCGCAAAGCATGTTGCAATTAAGTCGAGACGCCTTTTATTTTATGTCCCTTGGTCACAAAACCCTTTTTTTGCATTAGAGCATGTGGGACACATACACATTATGAGGCATACTCATTTTTGAAATTCGTTTTTTTAAGAAAACAATCAAATATCACTTACAAAAGTAAGTCTAAATGTATAGAAAAATTATTTTTTAAATGAATTGTTTGTTTTTCAATTTGGTAAACTATACTTAAACAAATTTAAACTATGTGCTTTTTTATTTATATCATTGTTGTCAGGTTAGTAAATCCGAATTTGAGATTGAGTCATTTGAACAAAACCTAATCCGATCGCATTGCGATCAACACGAAGCCTACAAACTCGAAAGTGAAGAGTTCGTGTACTAAGAATTTTAAGGGGAGCATTGACCTAGGTTCTAGGATCCACCCCGTTGACGGCGAGCTTTTGCCGGAAAGACAGCGTTCATCACTTAGGTCACAATTCCTCGGTCATGAGATCTTATGGGAAGGGTATTATATATATTAATAATTTTAGTAAATTGATAAAGGTTTAAAATATATCTTTACAAAATAAAAGAGAACCTTTGTAGGCAGAATCGAATCACATGCATAAGGACCGAAAAGCACAGTATAACTTTTACAAAGCTCTATTCGAAAAAGCTTTCCGCTCCACTTGTCCTTCTATGTTAATTGTATATTTCCGGTTTCACTCTAATCCGTGAAAACTGCAATGCACTTTACTGAAAAGGAACACCTGAATAATACTTACGTCCCGAGCATTAAGATTGCCCTTAAGCTGAAAGAGCAAGCATAGAGACCAACGATGATGCTGATTGAGCGAAATCAAAAATAAAACACATTCAGTACACTAAGTAAATTCGTAACAACATTTAATGTAGGTAATACCACATATATATCCAGAACGATCATCGCCGATGGTAAACATTTCCTTACATTTTTGCATCACCCTTGAAACCTCAAAACCTTTAACTCTTTAGGACGCTTTTACAAAAGTTACAATATTTTGTCCAAAAACTATGACACCCTCTGGATAAAAATTCAGCATTGAATTTCCGGAAAAACTTAGCGAAATCATTACAGTTACAAAAAAAGTCAAAAAATCATTTTGCCCCAAATTTGTTGAGCAAATACAAGAATGCTTCTTTGTGTATTTAATAGTTTATACATCTGCAAGCAAAAAATATATTTACAAACACGGATAGAAAACTTAAGTTACCAGATATTTTGCTGAAGCCCTGAATGGAATTAAGCCCGCGGTTTTCATATTTCGAAAAAACATTTTTGAACTAAACCAGTTTAATAACATTTTATGTGAACCACTAAACCAAACGGTATGGGGCTTTCTTGGGCTCGAAAAAAGTGTTGATGCCTCTTCATTTAATTAAGTTTAAATACATTTTGCATACAGACTTAGGTCAACAGCCTAGCACATATATAATATAAGAGCTAGAGAACAGAAATGAGGAAGTTTTTCGACATTTTCTTTGCAGGGAAAAAAACTTCCGCAAACACACTGTTTTTTATGATTGGACTCAACAATGATTTTATCATTGTCATATCCATCAGACATAAACGTAAACCAAGTTATGGCCATTTTAATTTGTGATCAGCAAACGAAAAACGCGCCCAATAGTAGGATATTTTTTTGTTTCAAAGTTGAAGCACCCGAATTACTTAATAGTTATTACTTATTATTAAGAAAAAAATAGGAAAATAATTAAGTGATTACATAATTGAATAATATATCATTTTCATATAATATATTTCTTTTGTATTATCATAAACACCCTTTGATCTTTAACAGGACATATTTGCACTCTCAAAAAAAAGAAAGAAATTAACGGAATTTACTACTGGGTTTTAAGAAAAAATTAATAAAAAAAGAAGTTAATTTCCACATTTACAATCAAATAAATCACAATTGCATGAATAGAGAAATGGTTTCAAAGATATATCTTTTGTAGGGCCAATTAACTATTTATGCAGCTATGTGATAGTCGAGAGCGTTGTCAGTTGGATTGTTTTTGTTGAGGGCGATGCCATCGGAGATGGTGTCGGCACAAAAAGGCTCGAGGAAGCCGTCTCTGTGGTTAGACTACGCTCTTCATAGACCCCGGCTCGTTCCTGCAAGGAGAATCGCAATTGTATATCAATATATTGGGGTTTTTTGCGTTTCCGTTTTAGGTCTTACATGAGATTTATCGTATTTAAATCGTTTCCATATATTCGTCTTTGGTTCCATAGGCGTACCATCAACGTTGTAGTTCGGATTTGAGAAGGTTAGTACAGATCTACTGGAACCGCGGGAGTTGCGATTGTTTTTCTTCTTGCTCGTATTGAAGGCAAGCACTACAAAAGGGAGAAATTTATTATATCAATAATAATTTGAGATAATAGTGAGTGTCTTAAAAATCTTTAGATGTTTGAAACCTCCTTAAAAATGTATCTAGCAATTCCATTTTTAAGATATCAAACCTTAAGAGACTTAGGCTTAGTAGGGAATATTAATTTTACTTACTGAAGATAACTAGTATAATGATGACAACCATAACAATGACCACGCCCAGCGCGACTAGGACAAAGAACTCTCTTTCCTGGTCATTCTTTTTCGCGAGACCGTCGTCGCCATGGTTATTGGACTCGCCCATCAGCTCGGGCGCTGTGGAATCATCGGTGGACTCATCGGAGTATTCGAGCAGCGGATCGTTTTCCAAATTGGCATGCACCAAAACCTTGGGCTTCGTCGAACATGGCGCATCCTTGGGATCCATTATGTCCGGACAGGCACACACGTAGTCGACAAAGCGATAGAGACAGAGATGGGAACAACCTCCATTATCCTGAGCGCAGTGATTCCAGCTTTTGGGTTGGCGGTTCAGGGAAACGGCGCGAATATCCAGAGCTCCACTTAGGGCATCGCGAACCTCAAAGGGATTACCAAATCCACTTCGTGGCAACCGCTGGGAACGGTACACCGATTTATTGTACCAATCGGTCCAGAATATGCTATTATCAAACTGGATAACAAAGGTTCTGTTAGGTTACTTCGATTGACCAAGGAGATAGTCATCCCTACCATAGTCAGACCAAATGGATGAGGTGCATAAGGAACAATAGTTTGACGGCGTTTGCCATTAAAGTCCACTTGGCCAATGTTGTCCTCCAAGGCGTCGGCCCATAGCAACCTCCGATTGCTGTTTACCAATAAAATAATATTAATATATTAAAATGTGTATCATATAAGGTTTGAACCTACCTAAAATCGATAGTAAGGCCTGTTGGAAAGCCGATTCCGGATGTTATAAGGACAGTTCTGTTCGAACCATCCAAGTAGCTACGTTCGATCTTTGCTGGAGAGCTCCAATCCGACCAAAACAAGTAGCTAAAATAACAAGCAAGTATATAAAATGCTTATAGACCACAAATGGGATATGTTCATACGCCTTTTTGGGATGCACAATCAGTGAGCGCGGATCACCCAGATTATCCTCGATAATCCTTTTCCTAGAGCTACCATCAATCCTAGCCACTTCGATTAACTTGCGATCAGTATCAGACCAATAGAGGTTGTCTGCTATCCAATCGACAGCTATTCCGTTGGGAGTAAGAACTTCGGTATTGACAATAACCTTGCTTTCGGTTAAATTCAATAGGTTAACTCTTCGAATTACGTCCAGATTGACATCGGCGAAAAAGAGCAGATTCTTTCGGTAATGGAAGTCAAGTACGACTGCTCCATGCACTCCGTTTATAGGTAAGACGACGTCCATGAAATCTCCAGAGTTCAACGAAATCATACCAATTCCTGAACGCAAGGCAATGAGAAGATAGTCCTGTGAGAAAAAGTTTAATTTAGCATTATAAGAAAATAATAGTAGGAGAAACTTACCTCTGGTAGATTTTGGCATTGCGTTGTGCTGTTCTGACGCAACCTCAATCCAATGGGGCATTGACACGAAAACCCAGATGGGTTACGTAGACAGAGGTGAGAGCAGCCACCGTTATTGCGTCCACAGACATTCTCAGCCATCTGCTGATCTTGATAGATGACCTTGATGTCCATCAATCCATCGATGTTAGTGATTATATCACGCTTTGCTGTTATGTTCCTTCTTTCGGTCATGTGCAAGGCCTTCGACTTCCAATCGGTCCAGTAGATGTTGTCCTCAGACAGAGCCAAAGCGTATGGATGATGCAGGGATGACATAATTAACTTCCGTTGATTTCCCGTATAATCACACGAGTCGATGGTCTTCAGACGGGCATCGACCCAGTAAATTCGCTTGCTCTTCAGATCGAGTGACAGACCATTGGGCCATCCAAGGTTGGCGGTTACAATGCGAGATCTTTCATTGCCATCCAAATGAGATCTCTCAATCTTACGATAGTGCCCCCAGTCTGTCCAAAACAGAAGACCAGCTTCATAATCCAAGGCCAAGCCACGTGGGGACTCCAGATCCTTGTAGGCTATAACATGTCGGTTGCTCCCATCAAGACTGGCTACTTCGATAGTGTGGCGACCAGCATCGGCCCAATAGATAGTTCGACCGATCGAATCGACAACCAGCCCATCGGGATTCTCCAAACTATCCCCAACGACCTTATGCACATGAAGACCATCTGGACTGGAACTCATGATGACATTCTCAACGGTGTCCGACCAAAAAATGTTGCCCGTCTTCCGATCGACATCGAGAGCCACCGCATTTGAGATTGGCGGCAGGGGAAGGACAACATCGATCAAGTGGTCGAAATCCAATGATATTTGCCTTATATCGATTCTGTGGGCAAACAGAATGTACTGAGTTGGACCTTCGGAACATGTGTGCTTGTCATCCTTTAGTTGAACCCCCACAGTGCAGGCACAGGTGTAACTAGTGGGATTCAGAAGACACAGGTGGGAGCAACCTCCATTCAGTTTATCGCAAGCGTTGAAGATGCGCCTTCGGGTGCGATGAAACACCCGGATGTCCATGAGATCCGTACTATTGGCGATAATTACATTGGTGTCCTTGCCCGTCAGCTTATTGGCGCTCATCACAGACTTGGTATCCCAGTCAGTCCAAAACA